GTCGTTTGGGGACGCCTGTGGGACGGCGGAGGTGCTTAACTTCATGGAACAATGTGAGAACTTCCTGGAGATCCGTCCACTTCCCACTGCGGAACTCATAGGAACCTTGAGCACGGTGCTGAAGGGACCCGCTCAGAGCTGGTGGAAGGCGGAGAAGCTCAGGGTAACGGATTGGAAATCCTTCAAGAAGGCATTCATGGCGGCTTTTCTTCCTGATGATTACCTCTCAGAAGTGGAAGAAAAATTGAGAACAATGGTTCAGCTGCCACGACAACGCCTGAGGGACTTCGCATATGACTACCGAGCCCTATGTCTGAAATGGAAGCCAGAGATCTCGGAGGAGGAATTAGTACATCGAATACTGAATAACATCAATCCAAGGGTGGCGGGATGCATGAGGGGGACCGTCAACACGGTTGAGCAACTGGTGAAGGTGGGGTCGATGGTAGAAAAGGACCACCTGGGAGCTAAAGAATACTGGCATAAAGTCGACTCCCAGAGCAGCAAAGAAAAGACCTACAAGAAATCTGCTGAACGTTCCTTTAACCCTAACCTGGCCGGAGTAACCCTAGCACAGTTCCAGCCAGTTTCAGCTCTCCTGGTGGTGCCTGTAAGGGTGAATGGGAAAGAAGTGAATGCGGTTTTAGACACTGGTAGCACTTTCACCTTAATGCAAGAAAACCTGTGGAAACAATTGAAAGGAGAGGGTCCATCCGTCATGTCCTCCAGCCCACAGAAATTCATCATGGCTGACGGAACGATTCACCAGTCCAGAGACCTGCAAAGGATCAGGATTCAATGGCATGACCAAAACTGCAGTATGGATACGTATATCTTAAAAGACACTCACCTTGCATTTCCTTTTATTGCCGGGTTGGATTTCCTGAGGACCATGGGAGCTGTGCTGGAGGTAGGACGGGGCCGATATGGGTTAAGCTCTGAGAGAGGATACACCTATTACCCTTTTTTACCATCACAGATTCCAACAGGTCCAACTATCACGTCTGATCAAGATCTTTCACATATTACAGCAAAAATAAATTTATATTATGCCTTACCTTCCACTGGTAGAATTCCTGAACTCCTGGGTGTTTTCCCTGAGGTCAAGACCTGGGACTCTGGAAATCAGGAGGAATTGAGGAAGTTGCAACAAGCCTGGCCACGTGCAACATCGAACCACCTGGGAAAGACATCCATTGTACAACACCGAATCACATTATCTGAAGACTTACCTCTCAAATCTCGGGCATACAGAGTTTCTCCTTTTAAGAAGTAGATCATTGAAGAGCAAGTAGATCAGATGCTGAGAGATAAGATCATTGAACCCTCCTTCTCGCCTTGGTCTTCCCCGGTCGTCCTGGTCCCCAAACCGGACGGATCGTACAGGTTCTGTGTGGATTACAGGAGGCTGAACAGCAAGACAGTGCCTGACGCATATCCGATGCCGTTAATTCACGACATCCTTGAATCACTGGAAGGAGCCTCATGGTTCAGCTCATTGGATCTGCAGTCTGGGTACTGGCAGGTAGAGATGGAGCCACCGAGTAAAGAAAAGACTGCTTTTATCTCATCTAAGGGGCTATTTCAGTTCAAGGCGATGCCGTATGGGCTCAGAAATGCTGCTGCTACCTTCCAGCGTCTGATGGAGAGAGTCCTGGCTGATTTGAGAGGGAAAATTTGCTTCGTGTATATTGACGACATCATCATCTATTCAAACTCACTAGAAGAACACAGTCACCATCTTAATATGGTTCTCCATAGACTTACCCAGGCCAACCTGACGTTGAACATGAAAAAATGCCACTTCTTCAAACGTCAACTCAAGTTCCTCGGCCATATAGTCTCTGAGAGGGGAGTTGAAATTGACAGAGAGAAGACCTGTGCTGTGGAAGAGTTCCCTCCACCGCAAGACCTCAAAGCCTTGCAGCGGTTTCTAGGCCTGGCTGGGTGGTATCATAAATTTATCGCACACTTTGCTGACATTTCTGCTCCATTAAACAATCTGAAAAAGAAAGGAGTTAAGTGGGAGTGGACCCCAGAATGTCAAGCAAGTATGGATGCTCTTAAGCTAGCTTTACAAAACTCACCTGTGTTAATACAACCAGACACCTCCAAAGACTTCCAAGTTCATACTGACGCTAGTGAGGTAGGACTGGGGGCCATCCTCACACAACAGGTGGAAGAGGGTGAAAAGGTGGTGGCGTATGCTTCACGGACCTTAAATGGAGCTGAGAAAAATTACAGCACTTCAGAAAAAGAATGTCTGGCAGTGGTGTGGGCGGTCGAAAAGTGGAGACATTATCTAGAGGGAAGACCCTTCGACGTCTTCACTGACCATGCGGCTCTAGCATGGGCTTTCAATTGCCCCAAAGCCTCCTCACGTTTAACACGCTGGACACTCCGTCTGCAACAATTCAACTTTCAGGTACATCACCGGAAAGGTTGCCTCAACATGGGACCGGACGCTTTGTCTCGGGTTCCGGAGATACCTGAGGTTGGTTCGGCACATTGCCTTTCCATTGCTTCACCACCTGCTATTACCTTACCTCACTCTTTGGAAGAAATCATGAAAGCTCAACAATTAGACCCTACCATCGTTCACCTGCACTCTAACATCCCACCTCGATCAGTCAAAGCAGAATCCATAGCCTTTGAGAATCTCCAAGGTGTGTGGTACCGTAAGGTTCCTTTGAAGGATAATGGCGAGAAGTATCAATTAATTGTACCCCAGACGTTAATCACTGAATTCTTGCATTATTATCATGATAATCCACTTGGAGGGCATCTCGGACAGCTGAAAACTCTGCTGAAGATTCTTGACGTGGCATGGTGGCCGTCCATTAGGAAGGACGTGTGCCAATACGTCAAAAGCTGTGAGATCTGCCAGAAATATAAACCCAGCAATACAAAACCTTCTGGATTGATGCAGAGTACACAGATCACTGAACCTGGACACACGTTGGGGGTGGATCTAATGGGACCCTTCCCCGCCAGTAAACGACAGAACACGTACCTCCTTGTCATTGTTGATTATTTCACAAAGTGGGTGGAAATGTTCCCTCTAAGAGACAGCAAGACCCAGAAAGTAGTGAAAATCCTACGAGAGGAGATCTTTACACGGTGGGGGGTACCCAAATACCTGGTGTCAGATAGGGGTCCTCAGTTTACATCAGGTCTTCTGAGTGAGTTATGTAAGACATGGGGCTGTGTGCAGAAACTCACCACGAGTTATCATCCACAGGCAAACCTGACGGAAAGAATCAACCGCACAGTAAAAACGATGATTGCGGCTTATGTGGGTCAGCAACATAAAAACTGGGACCAGTGGATACCGGAATTTCGTTATGCCATTAACACAGCGCAGCAAGAGACCACCGGAAAGACACCCACGGAGCTCATGCTGGGCAGGCAAATACTAGGGCCACTGGAGCGTCTGATTCACAAACCACCTTCACCTGATCAAACTGCTTATGCCCTGGTAGAAAGACAAAAGATCTTGATGGAGGGAGTGAGGAATAGAATGAGGATGAGCCAAGCCAAACAAGCTAGGTATTATAATAACCGTAGGAAAGATGCGCAGTTTCATATCTTCATATCTTCATATCTCCATATCTTTCATGTTTGCCATGTGTCAAATATTGTTTCACTGTAACCTCAGTGGGTAAGGTCCTGTCATGTTTATGTATGGACTATGCCCTTTTGTTGAGCGGCTCAACTTTTACTGTGGGTTTTGCGGACGAGGAGCCCTGCAACCCCACAGTGCACGCCAAGTCTGAGCTTCTTCACGTCATGCCTACCGAGCCTGTGTCTTCGGACAAGATGGCCGCCGTGCATGAGTCAGCTACCGAAGATACAAAACTCATCATAGTCGCCACGGCTATTTTGAGTGTGTGGGCAGCACACACATCGGCTCCAGCCCGTGAGCCCTCGGCCAAGATGGCTGCCGCCGTTCCAGCGTCCCGTTCCAAGATGGCCGCCCCCATGCCAGAGTCTCGTTCCAAGATGGCCGCCACCACGCCAGAGTCTTGTCCCAAGAATTTTTTTTTGGCGGGGCAGTAGGTCCCTGGTTAGGACTACTGAGGCCGTGCCTCTGTGGCCAGCTCCGCCTTGGCTTCTTGCACTGCCGGCTCCGCCCATGCTCCATGGCCCATGCCCACCATTGCCATGTCCTGGTCCCGTACCCCTGCGCGGGCCTGGCCCGCCATCCCTCCCCCAAGAATGCCTCCGCTCCACCATCCTCCTGAACTTTTGATGTTTTGGTTTGTTGGGCGTCGGGAGCCACCCATAGAGAGAGGGGGGGGGGGGGGGGGGATGTCACGTCTTGTTTTGGTCATGTCACGTGTTTCCTGTTGTCATGTGATTCCCTGTTATAGTCATGTGATCCTGCCATGTGTTCCCTTGTCTGATGTGTCATGTTGTCATTGGTTCATTGTTTTCCTTGTTCACAGGTGTCCTTTGTCTAGTCATTAGTCCTTGTGTATTTAAGCCCTCATGTTTGCCATGTGTCCTTGTCAAATATTGTTTCACTGTAACCTCAGTGGGTAAGGTCCTGTCATGTTTATGTGTTGTTCATGCCATATCATGCCTTTGTTTTATGTTTGATCACAGTCTGTAAATAAACTGCACTTGGGTTCTCTACAAACTTGCCTCCAGTGGACTATGTTACAACTATATGCTTTTAACACCACTCTTTGTGTACAGATTGTGATTGTTTCAATTTAATATTGTTTTGGGAAATATGTGTCATATTTAAGTATGTGTTATCTTTTTTTAACAACCAATTAATTAATTAGATCAGTAACCATTATAGTTTTTGTTGCCTCTGTCGATTGGGCGGAGTGCTACATTCTTGAGATTTTTTTTTTTTTTTCCTGAAAATACAAAATCATACACTGATTAAGATTTTATTTTTGCTGTGTTTGTTGCTTTTCTTCTGTCCTTGTTCTTTTTAGCATGTCGTCTTTCATTCTGTCTTTAAATGTTCTCTCTCTCTCTCTCAGCCTTTGGACTATGAAACTAAGAGCAGTTTTTCTCTGAAGATTGAAGCCACTAATCGGAATATTGACCCTCAGTTTCTGAGCTTTGGGCCCTTCAGTGACTCTGCGGCTGTAAAGGTCACAGTAGAAGATGTAAACGAGCCGCCGGTCTTCTCAGCCTGGATCAGTAAAATGGTGGTGTCGGAGGCAGCGAGGGTTGGTTCTGTCATCGGGACGGTTTCAGCCCATGACCCAGACTCGTCCAGCAGCGCCATCAGGTAAACTCTTAATTTATTTGTGTGCTATGTGATTCATATCGCTGTTCATCTTATTGTCCTCTTAGCCACATACAATACAGTTCTAAACATAACACTGATTGGACGTCAGAAAGCACCTGTAACCACACATGAAGTAGAGTCTATATTAGTGTGCTAAACAGCTTCTCTGTTTTTGGTCAGATAAAAGGTTGATTGAATTATCAAATGTATAAAAAGTTATGTCAAAAAAAGTCTATAAATATATATATATATAAAAAGTCAACTTTTCAGCCATTTAGTTTTAGCCAAAGATTGTAAAGAGCAAGAACTTTCAAGTTTGGTTGTGAGTGTTGATCGAACAGGTGTCAGGGTTCTGTCACTTCCGTCTAGTCTATTTCTTGGTTTTGTGACAGAGCCCGGACACTCCTGTTTTGTCTGGTCTGTGTGCCTTGTTTCATGTGCGAGACGTGTTCTGTGTAGCATGCGGTTCGTGTTTACATCAGCTGCATGCTTTCATGTCTTGTTTTTGTGAGCACATGGTTTGTCATGCGGTTTCCTTGTGCCATGTGCTCTCCTGTCGATTGTCTTACCCCGCCCATCTTGTTACCTGATTATTGGTTCATTTGCCCCACCTGTCCTCCCTTGTTACCTGCTTTGTTTTCTCTCCCTCTTTATTCTCCTTGTGTTTTCAGTCCTGTGCTGGCTTGTTGTCTAATCTCATCCAACGTAGCCTTGTGTTTCCTATTCATACCAAGTCCAGTCTGTGAAGTCTTGGTACCTGTCTTTGTTTGTTTTCGTTTTATTTTGTGCTTATTAAAAACCCATTGCTCTGCACTTAAGTTCTCGCTACTTTCAACAACCCAAACCCTGACAGAACAAACCAGCCACCAGAGGACTCCACAGACAATGGCACCTTCCTCTTCCCATCTCCCACCAATGGGTCTCCTTCTGCCAGGACTCTAGCCCTGCCTGAGCCAAGAGGAGGGGTAGTGTCAGGGTTCTGTCACTTCTGTCTAGTCTATTTATTGGTTTTGTGACTGAGGCTGCTAAACACATTTACTTGATTTCACTTTATTATCATAATTTCTTACAAAGTTTGTATTGCATTCAAAGATGTTTCATGTGAAAACCAAGAACAAACAAAAATCAAAACAGTATGACAACATATTTCACATAATTCAGGGGCTGCATAATTTGAAGGGCGCACCGAGCCTCGTATAAAGGGGAAAGTATAGCCGATTGCGTCACCGCAGCGCGACGAAGGCTGTCCCAATGCGAAGGTCCTTCAAAGGCTCCTTCAAAATGCGGCCTGCAAATGCATCCTTCTTTTCCCGTGAATGCAGGATACATCAGAAGGATCCTTCGCAGCCTTGCCCACCCCAGAATGCATTGCGCGCCGGAGACAGACTGCCCGATTACACTTTTAAATATAAGTATTGGGTTTCAATTTATTCGAGTAATCTAATGTATCTAATGATAAAAAAAAACTTTAATTAAAAAAAAATGAAGAAAAAATTATACAATAAATGTTGACTTATGTTACCAGCATGTGATTTTACATAGGCTAGTTTATACTCTTTTAGACTTTATTATGTACATAAATGGTGAACATTTTTAGATAGGTTTTCAACCCCGTTTTGTTTTTAGGCAGTTATAACTTTATTTATTTATATATACTTACATAAAGCGATCAACCAGACCGTCCCATTGAACAACTCCAGGGACACAGCTAGCAACAATTTGTAAAGGTGAAAATACATTTTGTTAGTTTCATTTTCCAAATAACCAGTGGTGGAATGTAACGACATAAATTCACTCTGGATTAAACCATAAATTTGAAGCACTTTAGATTGTTATTCCACTCCACTTAATCTCAGAGGCAAATATTGTACTTTTAATGAAAAACTGACTTTTTACACATGGATATTACATTTTGATATTAGATATTGTTAAGGTATGGCCCCTTTAAGAGCTGCGCGCACCCTGTTTAACTGTCGGCAGTCTGTATTGTATGTGCGCCTCGAACACCACATGTATACGGCGCCGGGTTATTTCAGTTTGATGCTCATTTTTTATCAGAATTTTATCAGATCTTTATTGCCGTAAAGCAATTCGTTACATCACGAGACCTGATATCACGCGACACTTCCTGATGCTGCGGCCGGCAGCATCAGGAAGATACCTACAAATTAATTGACATGACAAAAATAAATGTACAGAATAATTTCTTTATTACATTTACAAGTTACAACTTGCATTACAAAAATAAAAAAATGCACAGAAATGATTTTTTACCTAAATAAGGGGACTTACGGGGATGGAAATCAACCAGCGGAAAAAAATGTTTACCTGCGGCAACAACTTAAAGGTGAACTATCCAGGTATTTTACCTCAACCGAACAGCTTCCGAGTCATTGGAATGGTTATATTACTCTTTTGGGGTTGAATGGTGGTCGTTTCGCACCCCCCTATCGCATGTGAGTGGAAAAAACACACTTGCAACTTTGAGCCGGCGGGCCGCCGGCCGCAGCATCAGGAAGTGTCGCGTGATATCAGGTCTCGTGATGTAACGAATTGCTTTACGGCAAAAAAGATCTGATAAAATTCTGATAAAATGAGCATCAAACAGAAATAACCCGGCGCCGTATACATGTGGTGTTCGAGGCGCACATACAATACAGACTGCCGACAGTTAAACAGGGCGCGCGCAGCTCTTAAAGGGGCCATACCTTATTTCCACTCGTTACAGCGTCCATCCTACTGAACAGGTACCGGTGTACAGGGGAGGGGATCCGGCCGTGAGTGCGAGCCATCTCTGCGTGAGTGCTATTCACGACAGTACAAGTACTCCACAGCGACTCTAGGGGTCGCTGTTTGACAAAAACGGAATTCCTGCACCTTTAAAAGTAGCCCAATTCCGCAGGAAAACCTCGGACTTGGCAACACTGACGGTAGGCCGCATTAGACGGATCCTTCGAATGGGGACAACCTTCGTCGCGCCGCTGTGAAGCAATCGGCCTTCAAATGCGGCCTTCGGAGGAGCAGCCCCTGAATTGGCTGTTTCTCTCCAGCACTGTGATCCTATACAATTATTTGCTAATTGAAGTATTATTGTGAGGGATTGAGGCTTGATTGGTTATGATTATCTGTCATTTCATGTCATGTCATCAAAAAAAATTAATTACTCACTTATTTGATAACTTTTTGAGAATGGCCTCTCTATGACTGAAGGAAACTGAGCTAGATCAGTGATTGGGCTATGGATTAATATCTGTACTTGTTTAATAACAACACTGGAGGATATGCTAAATTTAAATTAATGGGGGGAAAAAAGCATCTGAAAATACTTTTAGTCATGCTACAGTTAACCGGGTGAATTATTTTCCAGGTTAGAGCCAGTGATGATAAATAAGAAAAGAAGAAAGCCTATAAAGATTAGTTTATTGTCCGTGTTATTATTGAAAGACTTGTGACTGGTGTGTCCAGGTACTCCATAGACCGTAACACAGACCTGGAGCGGTTCTTCAACGTGGATGCTCTGTCTGGTGTCATCAGCACAGCCAAACCTCTCGACAGAGAACTCAATTCAGTCCACAACATCACCATATTTGCCACTGAGAACCGTGAGTATAATATAAGCCACGTCTGAAAATCTACATTTGCATAATTAAAAGCAGAACAATTGTGTATACATGCCTTAGTCAGCATATATATATACTGTATATAAAGAATCACCAAATTATTTTTGGTTCAAATCAGCTCCGCATTGCTGGTTCTTCACCTACTGAAAACACGTTTGTGCTCTACATGCCCTTCCTCTAATCACACGTGAGCAGGACAATAAAGCACTTGAATGTGAATGTGTTCTTCTGGGACTGATTGTGGCCTGTAGCTCAGGGTCTATGAGCCGAGCTGCTGACTAAGGCATGTCTACACAACTGTTCTGTGTTTAATTATGGAGATGTCATGCCACGAGGTGACACACGTGCAGAATAACACTTTCAAGGAGAAAGTATCTCACTCCACAGAATCTTGATGTGACTCTCATCCACACTCACTAAATGTCATTACTAACATTATTCCTTGTTACAGATCAGACTGGAAAGTTCTCCAAAAGTTAATTCACACATTCTCAAGATAAAGTTAACACTAAATAAATCGAAAACTGGTTTCACCAATGGACTCGTTTGCAGGTTGGCGAATAGTCAACCATTCAAAATTACAAAACTACAATTCTGATTTCCAGAAGTCTTTATTTGTCAGAAAATCATAACGATCTAGACTAGGGGTGTTGAAACCTGTCCTGCAGAGTTCAGCTCCCACCCTAATTAAACACACCTCAACCAGCTGATCGAGCTCTTCAGACTCACTGGAAACCTCCAGGCAAGTGTGTTGGAGCAGGTAGAAGCTGAAGCCAAGTCATGTCAGCTTTACAGGGATAGCAGGAAAATTATTCAATGATGCAAACAGAGTTCTGAAAGGCAAGCTAAAGTGTTCAGGATGTTGGCCTTCCAGGAGCAGGATTGGACACCCCTGATCTAGACATAACATCATATTATTGACCCGTCTTAGACCACCAATCAAAAGTCACTTTCTATGTGGTGAGTCTGTATGTCTTAGCGAATAGCTGTTGATGCTAACTGTGTTTGTGTGTGTCAGAGGACCCGTCTCAGGTTGGCAGAGGAATCGCTCTGATCACAGTCTTGGACATTAATGATAACGCTCCGGTGTTTGCTATTGAGTACGAGACACTCCTGTGTGAAACTGCTGCGCCTGGACAGGTACGTGTAGCACTGTGCATGTTTATTAGGGGTGTCAAAATGCAACAATACATCTTTACGGTAATACAAATAAAATTAATTGATTATGGAATTTAATTACGATGACTATAGTAATAACCAATCTGTCAAGGTTGTAGTGAAGGATGAGCGGGGACTCAAATATGCAGAGTGTTATGGGCTTTTAGTTGTAATATATATATATATAAATAAAACAGAATCAAACATAAAACTTCCCTGTGGTGGGAAACACTACTGGCAGCTGGACTGGGCAGGAACAGGCAAAGCAACCCAACATGGGAACAATAGAGAACCAGCTGGCACAGGACAGAGAATATAAGGAGAAAACATAGGAGGGTAACATGAGAAACCAATAATCAGGTAACATAGGGGTGAGGTTAAGACAATCGACAGGAGAGCACATAGCACATAGAAACAAACATGACAAGCCATGTGCTAACACAATCACAACACGAACACGCAGCCAATGAGAGCTCTCACCGACTGCCTGTCCACACAAAACATGAGTACATGAAAGCACGGGGCCGATGGAAAACCACGAGCTTCGTGCTGCACAGAACACAACAACACATGCGGACAGAAGAGCGTACGGCCCGAGCGAACCCGAAAACACACGTTCACACAATGAGACCAGAGCGCACGGAGAATGAGCAAATGCCCATCCCGTTCACTCACAATGGAAGAAAAACATACAGAGCATGCATGTCCGAACCCCGACACTGAACCGAAACCAAACTAGACAGAAGTGCCGGATCCGAACACCATGCTCTCGTGGACGGAAGAGCGAACTCAGAACCGCATGCTCACAGTGATGAGACAGCAGGAGTGTGAGGATTCTGTCACCAAACAAGAAGCCTGACACAATGTGTTACAGTGTTACTCGGATTATACACACGTGCTCTCACTACACACAGAGCATGAAAGACTAAGGAAACATTTTATATTTTAATTATTGTTAAAATACTTTGGTCTGGTTTCAAAGACAAGGCTTAAGCCTAGTCCTAGACTAAAATGCATGTTCTAACGTTTTAACTGAAAGCATATCTTAAAATATGTCAGTGCCATTGTTTTGTAGATGCAGACCAGTGATGTTTTTCTTTAATCTAAGCCCTGTCTTTGAAACTGGGCTATAAAGTAATAATTAGTTAGCAACACAGTCAACCATAATGTGAGATAATATATTAAGTGTGTGTAATGTGTTTGTATCTCTGTTTCACATTCACCTCATGTGGTTTGGATAGACAAGATGCAGTCAAACAGAAAGAAGAATGAATGACAGTGAATGAAGGTCAGAGGAGGCACACAATTCGTGCATCACACAGCAAATATTTATCAAAAGTCTTTTGTGGAGCTAAATGCCTGAATTGGGTGCTCTTGGCATTTGGAAAAGATAATCAGCAAGAGAGAAAAGCCACAAGGACATGGATAAAAGCAAAATTATACTATTAAGGAAATGGCCGTTAGGCTAATTTAATGTGGATTTGCATTGGCTCATAAAAGCAAATAAAGAAAAGCTTTCTTTTAAATCTGCTACTAATCATATCAATTTTGTGTTTGGCTTCCTTTCTATTTTGTCAGTGGCTCAGCTTTGAGTTTAGAATCTAAATCTGAAAGAGTAGGCTGTGTAGAAGCAGAGGTGAGCACTATTGAGTCTTTCAATTGTACTGTGAAATCATCTTCAAAGTAAAAAGTACATGTCAAAGTACATGTCTTAAATCTGGAACTACAGTGGAGCATAATGTCCCAGACAATTAGAGCTCATACTAGACTTGATGTTTTGTGACAGTGGATTAATATGACTGAAGAACCAAGTCAAGTCAAGGCAAGTCCCCTTCATTTATATAGCGCTTTTTACAATACAGATTGTTTCAAAGCAGCTTTACAGAGATAATAGTGTGGCGGGTGGGTTTGGATAGGAGGCTAATCGGGAGAATGATGTGCATCTGTTCTTCTGCTATAAAACCTCAGGGTTAGTTGGTATGAGGGAGTGCTCACTTGCTCCCGGTTGTTTTGTGCTTGGTTTTGGCTTCTGTTTGTTTACTTCGACCTTGTTATTACTTTTGAGTATTGTTCTGTCTAATACTTTTACATCATATGTCTGACAAAAAATTGTATTTGATTACCTTGTTTTTTTATATTATATATTTTTTTCTACTTATATGTTAATAAATATTTTAGGTTGCAACCTTACCAACCTTTCTCTGTCCTCATTTCATTTGTCACAGCTTTGAGCCGGTCTTGACAATTGGAAAGTGATAATGGAACAGAGATTGTTTTGGCTTTACAGCAGCTCTAGTTATTGTCCAGTTTAAGTAAGTTTTTGATTCATTCATTTCCATTGAAAAAATCATTAGTTATTATCTTAGGGGCCGCTTACACAACACTGTTTTCAACAGAAAACAGAAAACTTATAATGTGTTCAGGCTGTTCATTTACATGACAACAGCTTTTTTGGTGGCCTAAAATTACAGGAGGACTAATTGAATTAATTGAAGGACTATAATGCGTTATGAGCTCGCTCAAGTACTGGGGAGCTAAACCATTTAGTGCTTTGTAAGTAATCAGCAATATTTAAAAATGTATACGATGTTCCCTTTCGAGGGAACTCGAACTGCGTTGACTACGACACTTAGCGTAACGCATCTGAAGTATGAATGAAACTAATCCAATCCTGATTGGTGCTGCGTCATGACATAACATGTGACGGCGTACACGGAAGCTACAAAGGGATGCCGGCACACAACAGAGTTAGCTTTTTGCTCTTCAGCAAGCGCTCTGTGTCAAACTGTCTGTCCTATTTGGTGTTGTTTGTCCCATAAGAATTGCAATACAGAATCTATAGTGACTCGGATCTCGCGTTTGTCGAGGCAGCGAATAGATTCGGTCTACTCAGCAATAAAGATTCTGTGACTGGGATCTCGCGTTTGCCGAGGCAGCGTGAAGATTTAAGGTCTGCATTGCAATACAGAATCTATAGTGACTCGGATCTTGCGTTTGTCGAGGAAGCGAGTAGATTCGGTCTACTCTGCAATAAAGATTCTGTGTGGGTGCGAGGCCTGCACAGTCAGCTCCTGAGGGTGCTGGCTGTGTTCATTGAGAAATATCTCGACGCACACAGCCATGCGTTTTCGGGTGTTTCAGCCTCGCGCCCGTTGACTTTCTTCTCGAGAGATGAAAGCCAAATATATTGTGAATGACTCGAATCTCACGTTTGCCGAGTAGATTACGGGTCTACAATAAAAGGGACACACAATCTGTGAAATAATACTGTGAGTGCGAGGCATTCACAGTCAGCTCCTGAGGGTGCTGGCAGTGTTCATTGAGAAATATCTCGACGCGTAGGCCTACATAAACCGTGCGCTGTCGGATGTTTCAGCCTCGCACCTGTTGACTTTCTTCTCGAGGGATGAAAGCCAAATATATTGTATATATCAAATATATCGCATTTGCCGAGGCAGCGTGTAGATTACGAGACTGTAAATAATATTAAAACAGTATTGTTTGGTGATTATGGCTGCATTTAATTCTATGAAATTACAATTATGGAATATTATCTTACTTTAAGAAGTTAGATATTTTAATTCAGCCTACCATTATCCAGTGTTTATGGCTGCATTTAATTCTGAGGAATTAAAATGATGAGCAGCAAACGTCGAGAATCGTTTTCAATTTTTCCCTGCCGGTCCTCCGCTTCAGGGTATCGAAAACAAGATGAAAATAGCAGGGCTGTCCTCCCCATGGAGGGATGAGCGAGAATCGCTCCTCCGCGGAGCCCTCAGGAAATCAATGTTTGTATCCAGCATCAAGTGCGTTTCGGGACACATCGGTTTGCAGCGAATACACACTGCAGTGTCCGCCACAAGGGCTTGCGGCCAGGCACTGTGCGCGTCCGCACATCGGAAACTGTTTTCGATTATTCCCTGCCGGTCTTCCGCTTCAGGGTGTCGAGAACGAAACCGAAAGAGCCTCCCATCTGGGGAGCCCTCAGGAAATCGTTGTCTGTATCCCGCCGTAAGTGCGCTTCGGGACACATCGGTTTCCAGTGAACGCACGCTGCTCTGTCTGCCCCACAGGCTTGCGGCCAGGCAGCGCTCGCGCCCGCACATCGAGAATCGTTTCTACCAAACCCTGCCGGAGAGCCGCTTCAGGGGATCGAGAACAAATCTCGAACGATACCCAAAGCCAGTCTCTGGCTGGTTCCCTTGGGGTACAGACTGCAGTTCAGTTTCCACCCACCAAAGTTCAACGGGGTGGTCTGGACTGTAGTCGACCCAAAGAAGGGTCAGGTATTGGAACAAGAAGTAAACTCCCTGCTGGTAAAGGAGGCTATAGAACGTATTCCTCTGCCAGACAGGGAGTCCGGGTTTTACAGCCGCTACTTCATAGTTCCCAAGAAGGATGGGGGGTTGCGTCCAATAATAGATCTCAGGCACTTGAATCGGTCTCTGAGGTTGAGGTTCAAGATGCTCACCATCGTTAATCAAATTTAATCCGAGGATTGGTTTGTCACGATAGATCTGAAGGACGCATACTTGCACATATCCATCGTTCCATCTCAGAGGAAGTTCCTGAAGTTCGCTTTCGGAGGCGAAGCGTACCAATAGCGGGTTCTTCCATTCGGCCTAGCTCTCTCCCCTTGCACATTTACCAAATGCATGGATGTAGCTCTAGCACCGCTGAGGCTTTTGGGTGACTGGCTGATTTGTCACAAGAGCTGGCAATTAGGCATCGAGATGTCGTCCTTGCCACATCCAGAGCCTGGGGTTGAGACTCAACACGAAAAAGAGCGTGTTGGCACCAGCCAGAGAACCATGTTCCTGGGTGTGGTGTCTCATTCCGCATGATCAGGGTTACGCTCAGATGCCTTTGTTCCCTATCTATGTGGAAGAAAGCTTGGTTTCTGTCCCAAGGCCCCGTACTGGGAGCGTCATGTCGCCGGAAATCCGTCTCGACAGATGCCTCCCTCACGGGCTGGGACGCGG